TCTCTCTCCCCCTCCATCTTCCCCTTGTCTTTCTCTTGCTTCTTTACTCTCTCCCCTTCCTCCTCTCCTTCTCCCCCAGTCCTCCCACTCTTCATCCCCCTTCTTCCTCTTCACCATCTTCTTCCTCCCCTCCTTCTTCAAATACTCTATCTTTTCCATTGGGTGGTCAGGAGACACCTCTAAGGCAGCAGACCCGTGGGTCAGTGTCCATGATGCATGGTCCGCTCTCCTCACATAGCTGCTAGTGTTCTGTCTGGATTACTTTATGCTTGAAATAATGCTCTATATCGTTATTGTTTTACATGAACATTGTGTGCTGCTTGTCCCCTCTCTGTGACTATTCAGAGCTCAGAAAGAAAGAAAACTGATTTTTCCCTAATTTATTCTCTTTCAATGTGTCCAGTGAGTGTTCACATAGGTGGACAGTCTTTTTATATCTGGGGGCTGGGGGTCAGGCAGATCCTATGTTGGCTTATAATGAGGTAAAAGGAACACAGATAACGACAACAGAAACATACAGGAATGTAAATGTATAGGCAATTCTCCTGTTTGGTGTTACACTGTAAAACAATAATATCCTATTTTAAAAATGGAACCTTAGGGAACATTATGGAAGAGGGGCAGAAAGACTGTAAGAGCCAGAGGACCAGGAAGTCTGCTGTGTGACTGCCTGTCTTAGAAGTGTTCCAGAAGTAGACCTGAACAATGACACAGATCAGCAGGCTTGCTATAGTGAAAGGGGGAGATCTCACAGACCCCCACCCCTGGACAGACAGTTTATAGACAGCTGATGACTACTGAAAGAGGGAGAATTAGCCTTTTCCAGAGATGAGCACCCCGATTGGAGAATCCATTACAAAGTGGTCAGCCCTGAAACTATATGCATACAAACAATAAAAATAAACTCAGCACACACAATTATATTTACACATAAAACTGTATTTATGAATTTGCTTATATATTATATATAATACACAAATACATAATAATAAATGCATGAATATATATGGCAATTGCTACTTGATGGCTAAAGAGACTGCCATAATATCACGGCATGTTTTTATTCTAGAGTCACTCAGATCTACACAATTTCATACACAAGTTGAACAAAGTTACGGACCTTGTGAAATTTATTTGTTTACGTATATTCTTATTTGGTGTTACAGTGTTATAACAGAGCATATATATACATATACATATGTATATATATACACACATATATAAGGACAAATATAATTCTATATCACTATGGTTTTACATTAGCATTGTGTATTGTTTTTCCCCTCTCCATGGGTAGTTGTATGTTTATGTGCATGTGCATGTAGATACATACATACATACATACATACATACATACGGACAACGATAAGGAAAAATGAGCTATCAGTTTGAGAGTGGTACAGCATGGAAGGGCTTAGAGGGAAGGGATGTGGAGGGATCTGGGGGGAGTGACAAAATTATATTTTAATTAGAATGTGAGTAAATAAAGACAATTTAACAAAATTGGGCCTTCCGATAGTTCATTTCATCCAACATCAAGTCCCTAGATAAAATTAGGTACTGAATAAAATAAACTTTTCTAAGTAAGTGACTTCTCATCTCATTTGGCAGGCGTGCTCTCAGGCCTTTACCAGCACTGCTTTTTTAATGTGTCTTATTTTGGAAGACTCTGAAGTGTGGGATCAAGCCTGAGATCAAGCCTGGGCTGGCAGTTCGGACGGGAGTGCTTGCTTCACGTCATCGACCGTGGCACACTGTGTATGCTCACTGTAGAGCGTAATGCACGACACACGCCCCTCTGTTTCCAGTCCCGGGCTGTCTCTGAGACTGACCAGTTGCAGCTCTGCTGCTGGAAGGGCTCCTGGTGCAGAAGACAGGACAGTCCTTGTTGTGGTCACCAACCTTGCTTGCAGCTGTGCCTTATGATGTGGCCATAGCTCATACCTAAGATTAGCCATTCCACCTGTCTCTAGTGGCAGAATTCAAGTCTGGGGCAATTGCTGCTTTATGGCTTAAAGGCCACCATGGTATTATGTATGTGTTCTTTTATTCTACACTCCTCCAGACCTACACGATTTTCAAGGGTGCATCAAACAAGCTTAGAAAGTCAGGGAATTCATGAAATTCACAAGCTGTTGAGAATTTTATTGGAAGGTAAATAATGAATAAAATGGGATATAGGAATTTAAGTTAAAACTCCTAATTATCAATGAAAGAGAAGGTGAACCGGATATGTTTTTTTTAAGTTTATAGTGTGGTCTAGAGAGATGGCTCGGGGGTTAAGAGCACCTGCTCCTCTTTCAGAGGACCTGGCTTTGATTTCCAGCATCCACTTGGCAGCTCACAACTGTAACTCCGACTTCACAGGAATGCAGCTTTCCAGGGAGGCCCGAATGCACATTAATACACCCATCCCCAAACACACATACATATTATTTTTTAAAAAAGCAAAATATACATTTACAAAGATTTAAATTGCAAATTGCTGGAATGGTATTCTGCTATATTATCTGTACACTATGATTCTCATTCTCATTTTTGTGAGTTACAGTGATTTATAAATAAGTGCAAGATATGTCTTCCCCATGTATTAAAAGAACTTGGTTGACTTGGGTATGGTGGTACATGCCTGTAATTCCAGCTCTTAGGAGCTCAAGACAAAAGGATAATTGTATGTTCAAGGCTACCGTGTACTATGTTGTGATTTCTAGGTTATTGATCAAGATCTTATCTCAAAAATAAATGAGTGAGCCACTTACTTGAAAACTGGGCTCCATCAGTCTCTCATTCATTGCCAGTTAACATTTTGTTCCCACGTCTAGTATGTATTCAGCAAAGGACAACAGAAAATAATCATCCTTGTAGAACTTGAAATCTTAATTATTTCCAGGGGTTCAAGATAAGCCATTTTAGACATATCAGGTGGTGTTCAATACAAACTGAGAAGAAACAATGACTAGAAACCCACAGAGAGGAGGAGAGAGAGTACCTTCTGTCGGTGTCTGCTCCAGAGGCTCTCTGAGGAGGGAGTTTAAGTGCCTCGGTGGGCTTGGTGCATGCCCCACCCTCTGCCTGTTCACCAGTCATTCGGATTCTGTATTCTGTTGATAAGCCCCTGGGGTTGGTTTTCAGCTTCCATTTGGACTTATGCCATTGCTCCTTACATCCTCTGGTTTGACCCAGTATTTTTCCATCTAACACTATGAGCTCAGAATTTCCAGTCCTTGGTGACTGGGTGCATACCATAGCATTTTGATCTTCAAGTTTTCTGATCTGGGCTACTATTAATGGTGGTTGTATACAATTTCAAAACCATGTTGTGTTTTCAGATGTCTGTCGTTAAACCCTTTTGAGCCTGTTCTTCTAAGGTAGAGTTTTGAAAAGAGGTTCAAAAATTTTGACCTGGTGTAGCTGGAAGTTTTCCACATGGGACTCTCGAATCTCCATAAGGCCTAAAAGAGTTTAAAAAGGGATTCTAAACACACAGTAACAGAGCCAAAGCCAGCTTTCTACTTCATCTCATACCGGTCGAGATATAGAGACGCCAAGGGACACAGATGCCTTGGTGTGTGGACTTGAGCTACAGTGTGCCAGTTCACGGTCTATGGGCTTGAATGCAGCATGGTTGATTCCTGCCACTGTATACAGTGGCATCTCCAAGCCTTGCAGCATGGTGCATGGTGGATATAGCTTTTGCTGGTACAGACAAAAAAAAAAAAAGAAAAGAAAAAAAAAGGTTTTTTTTGGCTACAACCTGGAGCTGGCGAGACGGCTCAGCAGTTAACACTTGCTGCTCTTGCAAAGGACCTGGTTTTGGTTCCCAACACCCATGTGGCAGGTCACAATTGTTTGTAACTCTAATTCCAGTGAATCTGATTCCTCATCTTGCCTTCCTTGCTCACCCCAAAGCACAAAAACATACACAGGTAATATACATACATATTAATACAAAATTCTGACCAGATTTTTTTTCTTTCAGCAATAACTCAGTATACATATACATATACATATATATACACACACTGCCCTTTTTGATGTATGGAGTGATTTTCTATTTTCTTCTGAAAATATTCCACTGTCTCAGGCTCTTTACCCCAGTTTCTCATCAAGCATAGTCTGGCAGCAGAGCTGTGCCAGAGGAAGTTTGGAAGAAGTGCTGTTGGCCTCTTATGGGCATCACATGCTGCCCATCAGCAGTGACGTAGGTGACTCCATGGGCTTGACACTTCTATGTTCAGTCATTACCCTCGAGGAAGGTGAGAAGAAATTCTCTCTATGGTGTTTATGCCATAATGTTGTCACATTCAAACCAGAAGTAACCAGAACCATCAATAGACTGCAATCCTGAGACCAGGAAAGAACAATTTACAGTTTTATTCTTTACATTGAGTTGAAAAGAGTAGACAGCTAATGTTTACTGGTAAACATGACACCCAGTTGTGAGATGTTTAAAAACTAATTTGAGAAAATATAATAGAAGTATGATTTATTTGTGTGTTTGGGATGAAATTGTCCCAGGCTAGTAAAAACCAACAAAGGAAGCAAATGCTTCGAAATGCTTCTGTGATGGGGAGAAATATTGTCTTTCTATTTATAACTCACGCAGAGCCCCATGTAAAAATAGCTCCCAGAGGCAAATTTTCTCATTATCTTCAACAGAGTTGCTGTTGCCAGTGATTTGTGGCATTCTAGTAAGTGGATATCTTGGTGACTGTTGAAAGTTTAGCATCTTCTTTGACCCTGGTTTTCTTGGGGGGAGGAAACTATAGTTAGTGGGAAGTCCTGACTGCTGGCTTTTACTTCTTGTTATTTCCCATGCCGTCAATGTCTGTCTTTAACCAAGTTGATATTTCAGCATGGTATTTCTGTCAGTAAAATATTTGGGGGCTAATTGATTCAGTATTTTGTTCTTTTCAAAGCTAATTCTGTGTAATTGGTGTGAGAACAAAAACATAGAGAAACTCGCAGGAGTTGATGAAAACATTCTCCCTCATTTTCAGAGGAGCTTCCTGGGCTGGGCCAGTTTTAAAGTTGGAGAGCTGCTGAGGTCCAAGGAGCAGCTGCTGTCACTGAGCCTGAGGTGAGTCTCTTTGTTTGCAGAGTTAATAGCCAGGGTGTGGCTGGCTGCCACACTGAAGGAGCCCCGTTCTCATAGGCAACTGCTTCCAAACACAGTGCAGAACAGCAACTCATCAGGATCACTTCCAGAGGCGGAATTATTAGTCTGTGTTAGCAAAACAGTTGTGCCAGCAGTAAGGTGGTAACAGTCTTTGGAATAAAACAAGTACAAACTATGATCATGCTATGAAATAACTTTCTCTAATAAAAATGCCACTATATCGATGGGTAAGTTTTTATGCTTGGTGCAAAGTGGTAGCTTTATGATAGGAAAAGGGAGCTGACATTTTCCATGTTGTCACTACTGTATTAATTTTAAGACAATGAGACATTTAAGTGAATCAATGGGTCCTAGCTAATTCTGAGCCTAATTTATTTTGATATCAGATGAACAGCCTTACAAAGTGGCATATTTATACTAGGAAGGATACAGAATGAGGTTTTTTTTTTAAACTGGCAGTAAATTTGAAAATAGTTTATTATTTCTAGTGTATAACAAATTTTATGACATAATGTATGTAAAGAACACCACTCTGCAATTATGTCACATGAATGGATACAGAATTGTATATACAGTTGTTCATTAATCTCACAAAGCTCTTGTTCTGATGAGGTTATTTCCAGGGTCTAATGTCCTAAATTTGTTGTACTTTCTCTTTCCAAAGAACCACTTGGAGCCACAATTTATTTCATTAAATTTAAGCAATTAGTTTTCATCTGATGTATTTCCTTAAGTATTCTGTGTCTCTTGATAGAATCTGTATTCATGTGTTTTTCTTACTTAATTTCCCTGATCTTCATGTGTCTGCATTTTTATTCCAAACTATTATGTTATATTATACAATTATGCTAATAAATACTCTATAGGTAGCAGAATTCGAGTTCTGAAAGGCAACCCTAATCTTTCTAGCTTCTGTCAGAGAGTTTCTATAAACATGGTATGGTAGTATATTTTATCTGGGAAGACATAAAACTCTTTCTAGGGTTGTAATGTTTTCCTCAATAAATTTTGCTGTGGTTTTTGGTTTGGGTTATGAATGGGCCAGCTACAAAAACTAGCTATCACTCTGGAATCTATCAGCCTAGCATGGTGCTTGAAGCTGAGGCTACCCCCAAGACCCTGGATCGGTGGCTGAAGATATCAAACACTGAACTCACTTAAAATTATCAGCCTGTGTGCATGCTTATTTATTTATTTCTCTTTTTTAAGATAGGGTCTTGCCTGCTCTGGCCTTAAATTCTCAGTTTGCCTGCCTCAGCCTTTCAAACAGGGATTGCAGACTGGGCAGTACTATGCCTGGCTTGCCCACGAACAATTAAGGAACATTTATTCCTCATCTTATTGACTCTCTCTCATTTGCACCTGCAACATGCTGTACACTGATGCAGCACTTAGGGGCTGAAACAGAAACCAGCTTTGTATTTTGAAGACAGGTTTTAACTGGATAGCCTTGGCTGGCCCAAGGGACTTGCTGTGTAGACCAGGTGGCCCTCAGACTTGCCTGGATCCTCCTGCTTTCTTTCTTAAAGGATAGAATTAAGAACTCTTCAGTGAGATAAAAATTAGTGAACACACAGACTGCCTTAGAAAGTGTGTAAGGAGGGTCCAGTTTAAAATACTGAGGAGGAAAAAAAAACAGTATAAAATCTCTAGAATTACATGAAATAGAAATAATTTTCCTATTTTGATCTAAATGTCTCTAATTCATAGTCATTTGATTTTGACTGTATGAAAAATACTAACTGCAACAAATCATGGCATTCTTTCCCTTGATGCAGGCAGATTATAAGCTTACCTTAGCCTGTGCATTTCCGGCACACGACCTGTAATTGGTTTGGTTTGGTTTTTGATGTAATTTATCTTCTTCTGATGCACTGTCTGTGGGGTTCTGCATTGGAATACAGTAAGTCAGGGTTAAGGAACATTTTTGTTTTCCTTTGCTTTTTATCTTCATGTGGTTATCCATGACTGTTATCCTTTCTATGCTCCAGCTGTTGTTTTTAAACCGTAGAATGAACGCATCCATAGAAATGAGGGCATGTTGGTAGACGTCCCTCCAGGCACTGGTGTTTTTATGGCCCATTTGTTTCACGTTCCCCAAACCTGAAGGTTCAGACTGTGGGTTCTGGCCCTTCGGGAGCTAACAAGAAACTCAAATTCCAATCCTCCATCTAGTCCCCTAGAAGAGGAGCCTGTGTTCAGTGTGGCTCCTCTCACACACTTGAAATTGGACATCAAGTGCATTGGATATTTTTTTTTTCTTACAGAAAACTTAAAGGAGAAAGAAACGTGCATATAATTTGTAGATTTAGACTCAAATTTCATGTGTGTATCTTTTAAAATTGTAGGATAACATTTGTTTACATATATTTGGAGAAAGGCCTCCAATATATAACCTGGTTCCTACCCACGTGTCACCAGTTCTGAGTGTTCCAGCTTCCCAAATGGACTTGGTGTCCTCATTTAGTAGTGACCTCTATCATTTTTCGTTAATTGACTTGGTTTTGTTGGTTCATATGTGCGCCCCTCCCCCACTTCTGTCGTATGTTAATTCTGTTCTCTGTGGGGTTGTGCCGTTTCCCGCTGTACTCTCCTGACTTCCACACTATCAGATGACTGATTATGATTTTAATTGTGCAGATATTGAGGATTCCTACACTAGTAACTGAAGTTAGAAGAAAACAAACCACCAACAGGACATCGTGTGCTCTGCTCTGAGAGTCTATTGGATGTAGCTCATTTGATCTTTATCAAACTAACCAACAATGCTATTTAACCCATCCTATAAATCAAACAGCAGTGGAAAGAATTTAGCATGTTTTCCAAGATTATCATGTTCTTAAATAAGAAAGAATTGATCTAAACTTACACTCTTCTGACTGGAGAGTTGTTCATTTCAACAACTCAGCAAGAGACAGCTGGCATCCAGTATGAAATGTCACCTGCCATGTATGCTTGGTGGCTGAGTGATAGCAAGGACTTGGATACAGGGCCATTTCTTCACTGGTTTGTATTTTTCAGATTTCCTCACAGCACCTCGTTTTACAATAGGGAACAAGTAAATGAGTATCAGTATGCTGTGTGGAACTTGGGTATGTTTCGCTATCGTGCCAGAGTGGGAACCAAGTTCAAACTACTGAGGGAAACAATGAAAATTGTTCCAATCAGCTTCAGAAATGTGGCCACCTGAAGCAACTGGGCATGGTTTGCCACCCAAGTACCTGGCATTCATATGCTCTTCTAGCCTGTCTCAAACCTCTGAGGCCATCCAAGAAGAACTTAGGAGAGCTGTACTATTTTGTATTATTTAGTAACAGAGTGGAAAATTCAAAGATCTGTTACTGAGTGGGCTAGCAATCAAGAGAACAATCCCATTGTTTGTACCACACTTTGGCAAACCAAACAGCCACGTGACGCACTAAAAACGGTTAAACTTTTCTACTAGAAAATCCTCAGAGGGAGAGAGAGAGGAGTGTTTCCAACTTCCCTGGGCCTTGCTGTTCGTTTTCCTCACAGTAAACTTGCATTCAGCACATATTCAGTTAGCAAATGCTAAGGTTTTGTACGTACTAAGGACAGTGATGGGTTCTTCAGAACATAACAGCGGTAACTATTTTGCAGTTGATACTGAGAGCGTGTTTAATGAATGATCTGTTAAGCAATACTCCGTGCAAGCACTGTGTTTGATCCTTTTTATGCACCAACTTGTTGAATTCCTGCGACACCATTTCTGTTTGGCATTAGCTTGATTGAGATGCTGTGGCTGCTGGCTATCCACAGAAGAGTAGAACTATGTTGATTCTTTAATTTGTTCACTTTCTAGTTTATACCTTGTAGGAAGCTCACAGCCTTACTAAATCCTTACTTATTTCTCTGGCAGCTTCTCCACTGTTTGAACAGTTTGGGGAGTCTTAATTTCTTGATGTTCCATCATCAAGTTCAATTTTGCATGCCAGAAGCAAAGCATAGCTTCAGTGAATGAATTTCAGTTGGAAATTTATTTTGATGATGGGTTCCTTGTATATATCTTTTAATTGCTTTATGTAAGACTAGTACCAAGAATTTATTTCTAGGTAGATTCCATGTAAATCGGTGAATATGATTGTCTAAGCATCAGATTATCTGTGTGTTACTGTTGGAATGTGAAATGCACCCCCTAGACTCGTGTGTTTGAACGTCTGCTTCCCAGTCCGTGGAGCTGTTTTGGATTGCTGTGTAAACGTTCGGAGGTGGAGCCCTGCTGGAGGACAGGGGCCACTAGGGGAGGATCTTGAATCTTCATAGCCAGACTCATTGCCTGTCCACTCTGCTTCCTAAGGGAATGCTTGGTAAACAGCTGTCTCGTCTCCTGCTGCCTGCCTTCTGTGCTGTGGTGGACAGAGCCCCTCAACTGTGAGCCGACACAACCCTTTCCTCCCGGTCTTGTTCCTCACCCAGTGTCTGTCCAGGAGCAAGAGAAGTAAATCGCAGGACAGTGGCGAGCAATAGACTGCAGTCTCCTCGAGAAGCTAAATTCCGGGTGAAGATTTACACTTATTTCAATGTAGACCTCAGTACCCTCATCCTTTTCCTCCCTTATCACAGACTCTTTCAGCTCATCCTAACACATCCTGCCATGCCTGTCTGACTTTCATGTGGGTTCTGGGGATCTGAACTCCGGTCCCCACACTTGTATAATAAGAGCTTTATCCACTGAGCCATCTCCCTAGGCTCTCTGTTCTTTTAGCCTTTAAGTCAGCTTTCTTACTGGAGCATAAATTATGGTTATGACAGAACTACCTGCTGGTCCCACAAAACTTAGTGTTATATATGTCTAAAATGTTTTCTGTGTTAAAAAATGTTAATATAAATGAACTGTCATCTGAAACACCCACTTTTGTGGAGAGTAGCACATCTCTGCTTAATTTTAAAGGAGAATAGTATTGAATATTGTGGAACACATCTGCGGAGATATAGATGAC